TAAATCTATAATTAGTAGCATTTTTGTAAATAAACACCCCTAAATAGTATTCTTCCAATTCCAAATATATACACAAAAGTAGTATTTTTGTAATTGCCTCCTTTTATAAATGTTTGGCCACTGTAAATGACTTACATGGTATAAAAAATGGTTTTTCCGACACTAGTCTGTGAATTTGGTTATAGGGGATATGGACCGGGATGATTGGAGGTACTCTCATTCAAACACTCATCTTACTTTACGTTACGTATCGAACAGATTGGAATAAAGAGGTACGCACGTTAAATTGAATAAAATCATTTCTTTTAACTGATCTCGAACTATGACGCATTTTGTGTAAATCAGTTTATGGTTTGAATAAAATTTAACATTTACTTAAAAAAGAATTATTTCATAATGTTTTACAAATCATATTTTCTAAGCTAAAATTGGGTCTCATAGGTTTGTAAAATTACAAAGACTAATATTTATATAATGATTCAGGTACAAAATGCGAGAAAGCGATTGGATATGTGGGACGAGAGGAAGGAGCCTCCTGAAAATTAGGTATGGATTTAATAAAGAAAACTTTTTTTATGGAAATATGTAACAACATTAATAATTCACAAGTATGGTATGTGAATGTGTTTTTGGCATGTTCATACACTAAAAAAAATAGATTGTATTATTTATTTTATTAGTTTAGATCATTTTTTTTATTGACACAACTCAAATTATATCATTTATAGGAGTGACTTTGAAAAGAAATTTTTTTAAAAATACCACTTTTTAAGTGTTATTTTACAAAATATCATATTTTTGAAATTTTTACAAAAATGTCACTTTTTCAAAATTATTTTTTTTATATTATTTATGTTTGGGTTAATTATGTTCTATTAAAATCCAGTTATGAGGATCTACTTTTGTATTTCAATGTATAACATCCTTAAATTCCAACGGGTGATCAATATAATATGTTCAGACGAATAAAAAGAGCTCTAATTTAACGAGTAACTTACTAAAAGATAATTTAGTATAAAATAGAATAAAAACAGGTTATGGTTGTTTTGACGACAGCTTATGACGTAAGATGTACTATATTTTTTTAAACCAAGATGTCATGGTTGATGAGAAAAAACAACAAGAAATAAAGAATTGTTTTTCTTTGTTTCTAATAATTTTAGGAAAAACTCTTAAAAACGAAGAAAAAAATAACACAGATTTTGAAGCCTAATTAATTCTCAACATTGTTTTCGATATATTACGTTCTTATTCAATTTTGTGTGTGTTCTATTCTATAGTAGTATTTAATTATTTATAGTAGAGAAATTAATTACTTTTTTTTTTCTCTTTTCTTGGTAACGTGGAGCCAAGTCTCATACCTTACCGTCCTTACGTCTGACTTGCATATTTCATTTTAAGTTTTGTGCACGGTCTGAATATCACAAGATCGGTAAAGAAAACATTACGAAAGTGAAGAGAGACGAATTGAATTTGTAACACTCAAATCTTGTGCATGTCTCATGTGAATGTAACATTTTGATGCCAAGACGTGAAAGGGGATAACGTTACACATAGTCACAAAGGTACAATTCCATGTTCATTTGATTTTCAATAGTCTTATTTTAAAATACGTAAGCATCATCTATTTCTATGTTTTCTTTTGGTCCTTACTTATTAGCTCTCCGTCAAGAAAACCCAATATTGTTTATATCCAAAACTTTGCCTAATCATAAATATATTTAAGAATATTTACTTCTAAACATACTTTTTCACAAACTATTATCATTATAGATACTTTTTGGGCAAGATATAATTTTCTATGATTATTATCTATTTTAATCCTTGACTAACTCAATCCTTACCACTTTTTTATTTTGCCTAAAATT